GGGAATGACATGTGGTATGAAATGGGACAACATTAAACCCAAGTTAAAGAAAAAATGATACTCAAGGGAATGACATGTGGTATGAAATGGGACAATATTAAGTTAAACAAATCTATTGAAACCCACAGTTCAGCCAGAGATCAACCCCCCTCCCCCCTCATAGCTTATTTAATTCATTTGATACCCTGAAACAACCTAGGGGTTGATCAAAGTCAGGGAATGGCTAACTCATAGAAACAACCTCTGAGCTGATCAGTAAAGGCACAGCTATCCCACAGATTAAATTTGAATTTAGCAAGTTGGTTGAAAAAGGAAAACCAGAGAACCAAGAGAAACCCCCTTGAATCAAGAGAGACCTAAACTAACTCTGCTGACATGTGTCTGGGAATTGAACCAGAAACTCCAGAGGTCAGAGGCAACTGTACTACAATGCTACACCTCCCTTGATTTCCACCCATACAACAGAACRATCCTCAACCAACTGGGTAAAATATTTAGTTAAACATTTGTGATTGGGTATTATTTTATCTAGTAAAAGCATTAGTCAAGACTACCAGTGTCTCTATTTACCATGTAGAAGCTGGGAGTCACTTGTATCAAATGAAATGTCTTTAATATCAAATTCTGCATAATCATCATATTCCTGGTGAAAAAGAAGAAAAAAGTAAAATAATCTTTCCAAAGGATGTGCCCATCGTAAATGCACATGTGGTTTTCAGGGAATGCCTCYATAACTAAAATAAAAACTTTAGAGCCCTGTTCAACAAGAGAGTTGACTGTGCACATAGCATAGAACTTTTGCAATGTCCAGTCCCRAGAGGAATATTGTTGTGGGGGACAAAACAATGGATTTTTTGCATAAGAAAAGACGCCCTATTGTTTTGTCACCCAGAACAATATTCCTTTACGAAATCAATGCAAGGGGTCTATCATAYATGTCACACTATACATGTCAATCAGTCCTGTCAAGATTCACRCACAACTCTCAAAAGCCGTTTACGTACTATCACAAAGTCTCCTCTACAAGGTGAATAGCCAGCYAACTCCACACTTCTCACTGAGTCCATGGGTGGACGAGGTGGATCTTCAGATGCTGAAAGAAGAACAGAACTGAGAATCCCTTTAATGATTGGGAGAATGGCMGGCCACTGTAATTGCCCCATACTGTAACACTGTTCTGGTCTGGGTCCGAGGATGTTTCTATGCTAACATCATCAAACATACTAAACTGACTGTTTTTTTCTTGCAGTATAATTTGCAACCTTCAACCAGTTAGGGCTAATTATTCTTGCAGAGATATCCTCTWTTTGATGATTTGACTTCTTACTAGGCACCATTGATGATGCCATCATTTTGTAATTTCTATATTCATTGAATATCTTGGTAACAAAAAGAGATATCAAAGAATAGTAAACACCAATCTTATTTATTTTATAAGGACTTTCAAATCACAAAGGTACATGTACTTTTAGAAACTCCTTCRGTGAGAAAACCAATCCCTACCTTTGAATGCAATAGGGCATGTTGATCTTGATCGATATAAAGGGTCCGTGTTTGACCTTAAATCTAGAATTGGTAAAATACAAAGCAATGAACAAGGAAATATTGATGTCAATGAGGTGAACTTATAGTACTTATTTTAAATATGAAATGGGAAAAGACCATGCCTGATGTGAGAATGTATCAACACTAGTCTTCTCATCTGTTCTCGAACAAGTACTCTAGAGTTTAGGGGGAGTTTGAGCATTTCTTTGCAGAATTAATTGATAAACAACTCATGTATAAATGGTTTGAAGGTGCAACCTTTACCCCTTTAAACTATCAGTAAGTTATCTTCATCAGTGCTCTTYAAGAGGGTCCGGACTCTCCCTACCCCCTGGCTATAACCCTTGATCTGCCCCTGGAGTTTGATCAGTCCTGAGCTTGTTTTAGAGTATTGATAACATTTGATTTGAAGATTACCTGGCATGCCATAAAAAGCTCCTTCTTTGATATAATRCTGCTCGTAATGACTCTCACACTCTGAAAGAATAAGGTAAGCAAGATTTATAAGCATTCTTATTAATAAAAGTTAACAAAGTTGGCATATTATATTGTTATGATTCAAACCCAAAGGAGCCCATACCCCCTTCCCCCCACCCCCTAAAAAATAATTGCCAAATGGGTGGGCATGTATGCATACTCAGTTAAGTACTTTTTAGGTAAAATTCAATGTTCATCAGACTGGAGGGGCAGGGCAGGCATTTGACCACTCAGTGGAGCCTGAACGGTGGGGAATTTGACCACTTTTTGCCCAAAAAAGTCAAATGCCCAGGGAGTTGCTCGGGGTGGGGTGGGGAGAAGCATGTGCACCTTTGGAATAATGACTCACAGATAATTTTGAAAAGAACACTCAAAAAAACGTTTAAAGATCCCTATTTTTAGAGTCATATTTAGGTAGTACACTGAGCACCAGATGTATTGAACATACCTTCCTTAGTTTTGGTTTGAATTTGCTTGGAAACTTCTGCCCTAAAATTAAAAATTTTAAACTGGTTTAAATGTTTTAGCTGATTCAAATATTTTGAAGTGGAAAGTATATATACCAATTTCCCATTCCACAGTCTCCCAAAGCATCCAGTAAAGCCAGCTCTTCCTGTGCAGACCATGATTCTTCCAGTATGCAGATACTATTGCTCTGAAAGGACAGTATATGAAATTGATGTTAACAACGAAAATCACTTCACAATTTGCGTAAACATTTTCTACAGTGGGCTTACAATTATCTCATAGTTGTGGTCACTTGAATGCTGCCCTGACTCACCTCCCTGAGAAAAACACTGAAAAAGACGAAGACAATCTTGTTAAACAAGACTAGAAACTACTAGAAAATCACCATATATCTCCAGCCTCGTACCTGACAACAAACACTGACTCGTGGACGGCATTCGTGGCACTTTATATATGGCTCTTTTAGTCTTCTGTCGCAAATAAAACACTCTAGATAGTCTTCATTAATAGTAGCCATCTCTGAAAATAAGAACGCAAAGTTTAAATCTTTTTTAATCCACAAAAAAATAGCAAAACATCAGAGGAAAAACTACAAACCTTCCAAAATGACCGCCATTTTGTTTTCCTTTAGCTCGCACCAGACTTCCCGCGTGTTCAAAATCTTAGCGATGGGTTTCCTGTGGATCAATTATGACGTCAACAAAGGAAGAGATTGATTTGCAGTTAGAATTTTCTTGTTGAAAAGTGAAATTTTCTATGCACAAATTACGTTGTTAAAATTTGAATCAAGGTAAGTTTCCATAGAGCTTAAATGCATTTCCCTTGACTCCAAAACAAAATACATTTTTGATTCTTTTTTTTCTTTCATTGTCTTCTAATTTTTCTCTTTATTTTCCTTTGATTGTATATCTTGCCGAAAAGAATGTTGGAGGGAACGAAGGACAGGATTGAACGAATTCGTTTTCTGCGGCGCATCGATGCGAATGGTAATGGCTGGTCTATTGAATTCTACGACAAGAAATATTAACAGAAAATTGCTATTTTCGTTCTTTATAAAAGTTTTGATACGTGCTTACAACTATTTCAACGGAGCTTGAGAACATAGGACATACAGGCGATAGGTCATTCCAAGATTGAAAAGAATTAGGCATAAAAGTAAACATAAATAGTCGAGGCCTTTAATATTGTTTCATCCGACTACAAACAACATTGGAAATCTCAGCACTAGCCTGCGTGGTCTTGACCCTCAATAAGAAACGAGTCACAGCTATGACCTATCAGTTATCGTCTATCGGCCATTCCCTATCGCCTTTGGCTCCGAAAACCTTTTTTGAAATAGATGTGTAAAAGATCGAGTGCCGGATTTTCGGACTTGTGATCCGTCAAAATTAGCATAATGAACCTGAAAGTTTTTTTACATGTAGAATACAAAGCTTCACATACTTCACAGGCTAACAGGATTTTTAATTCTAGAAGCCTTTCGTCAAGACTTACATGCGGCCAACGCCAGATTACTCAAACAGAATCTTTCAATGAGTGAAAAGATTATCAAGCTTCAAGAACAAATTCAGGCTACTCAGAAAAAGACTGAAGATCAGAATACTCGCTACTACTATATGAAAAAGCGGTTACAACACGAGGAGGTAACGCTGTTAGGTTTTATGAATTTTGTGGTGGGTGTAGGCAGTACCTCTCAAAGGAAGGTTCATCAGTAAAATTAAAAGTTTTTGGAGGTTAATCGCAGTATTGTGGTAGGGTCTTACGTTTTTTCAAAGTCTTTCAGTATTGTTTTGTAGCTATGAATGGAACCCAGGGTATTACTTGTCTTATCCATCGATCCTAAGCTTGACATCATCATTTGTTTGTTTTTAAGAGGGAAAAGCTTGCATTCGTACGTAAAAATGTCGAGCTAAAAGATACCATCAAAGATTTTCAACATCAGCTTCAAGAAGAGTTGATAAAGAATGCCAAGCTAGATGCACGAGTGAATCAGGTATGGCAGCCAACGCCCCTCTACCTCCGAACCTTCCCTCATCCCACCTCCCCTTCCCCCGTCCCACCCATCCCCCTTCCTGCCCCATAAAGGGTATTGATTCATTCATTTGGTTTTTAACTCAGGCTCTAGAATTGCTGGAAAAAGATAGGCAGAGCAGTCTTCGAAAAAGCTTGAGAAGTATACGTCAGTGGTTACGTGGAATTCTGCATTGCTGATTAAAATGTTGCAATAAAGTACTATATATCTCATTTGAGTTTGATTTTTTCTTTCTTTCTTTGCTTTTTACGCMATATGTTTGGGTCTACGAATATAAAACAAAACCTTATGCTTATTTTAAATGTTAAGGCTGTGCAAGTATTTAGAAAGCACAGGGATGCCATAGTAAAGGCATGGCTGAATTTTTGGGTTACGTCATGTCATAGCCGCCTTGTTGGTTGACGATAACAAAGCGTAGCGTAGTGTTCCACTGGTGTTTACTAGTGAATCAGACCTGAAATATTCATCATAACCTCAGCTCGTATACCAATGGAATGTTGCCGGGTGCTTGATGGAAAGCAAAGCAAAGACAAACTTGAACTGTTCAAGTTATCCTCTTTAATTTTTATATTTACAATCTTAAAAAAAAATCATATAAAATCTATATCGTAAAAATATGAATTCAGATAACAGCTATTTTCRTTTAGTTACACCCATTTTAATGTAATTGGTTTTGACCATCTTCAAACGTAACGCTGTCTGCAGGAGACACGTGGGACTCGCTGTGTAAGAGTAGGGTYTGGCACAAACGTTGGGAGGAAGTCACGTGGGTGAATTGTTAAATGTTACCCATTCCAGCTCGCCTATTGTTTTACAAACTCGAATGGTTCTACTTCCCTCTACTCGTTCATCCAATTTTCTCATGATTATGACCAAAATGAGAAGAATTTCTTTCAAYTTTATACGTAATACTATTAATGGTTCCGACTCTATTTAGTTACCGTTACTATGGTCCAATGAGTCCCACAAAGTTAAGATTATTATTTTGTTTAAGATGTTACTTTCCTAACACCGCGAAATTCCTCATCACCTTTGTTGTACGAGCAAGACTTCGTGGGGCAAGAGGAAAACCACTACAACGGTGGTTGCTTATTTTCTGAGTCGAAACCATGAATTCTCATCCATCTCTTATCTGCTGGGTGGAGGGGGGGCTGGGGATAAAATGCGACGTCTTCTCTCGTCAGCTGCTTGTTCTTTAAGCTTCTCTTTTCTGTCCTCGATGACTTGTTCGAACGAACCCATGACGAACTCACTGTCATAAAAAAGAAAAGACTATTAAGCAGGGACTAAACCCAAAGCGGACTCCGACCAAAAATAGTAATATATTCACATCCTAACAATACACGCGAGTATATATATTTAGATATGGAAATGCATGAAAATGGGTAGCTGTTCACAGGAGTGGACAGAGCGCAGATTTCCTATTACTTTGAGACGATACAGCACACGGCCGCCCCACGGTACAAAATTGACAACATCTTTGAATTAGTCATAGGAAATGAGGGAACTGCATGGTTAGCCAATGCAAATGCTAAAATTCACCGTCAGATGAAATTGTGGAAATGAGGAATCTGGCCCGCTAATAAAAATGCTGGAATTTACCGTCACAGTCACGGTACAGCAGGGCACGGCACGTTTTAACACCGCGATACAATGACAGACATTCTAGTTCTGGGTAAAAGTTAAGTTACCGAAGCATTTTGTCACTCTTCATCAATGTTGATGTATGCAGACAATCTCCAAGAATACCATCGGTATAAGCTTCCATCATTTAACCTTTTCAATCTGACATTCCCCTTCCCCTCCCCTTCCCCCCGATTTGCTGTAGGTTTCCACTATGGTATATTCAGAACTAAGTTCTACACTGAGCACGAATGCAAGAATACCTGTAATTGATTTCTCCATCCTTGTCTTTGTCGAGCGTTTCAATAAGCTTGAAAAGTTCTTCGTAATTCATATCCATCCCGGTTTCCTAATTACGTCAAAAAAGATAGATTACACTCGCTTTCACAATTGCCTTCCATCAATGAAAAAAATTCTTACTCATACCGTTRGAAATTTGATTGGAGGGTGTAAAAACAACAGGGGTCTCGACTTGTAGCTAGTTGTGTGGATCGTGTAATGGGAGTATAATATGTCACAACCTAGACATACATATCACCCCCCATAGCACCAACCTAACGATCACGCAAAAAAAATCTATTTTTTGAAATTTTAGCTGTGAATCAATAAAAGCAAAGTCAGCGTACGGCTGCTGAACTCAACTAGTTCCAGCACTAAAGCAACCTCTGAGCTGATCAGTTAATGTATGACTAACTCACAGTTTCAAGCCAGTTTCAATTGGAATTTAGCGTATGTTAGGTTTTGCCGAGGACCATCGAGTCGCAGCTTGAAATCAAGAACACCCTAGGCTCTTGCCACACCCTTACCTTTAATCCCTCTGCAAACTCCTGCACCGTCAAACTCATACTTTTGTCCTTGTCCAACGTGTTGAATAAATCTAGCAATCGCATTCTGTTGTCTTCTATGTAGTTCTTAAGAATCTTCATCGGTGCAGGGCGGGCCTTTGGTTTGGTCAATGCCCCTCCACCACCCCCATGGGTTATTCTGACATTGGGTCTTGTTGTAAGAACTTCCTTACAAAGATCTAAAAAGTCATTATTTACAGTGATATCCTAAAAGAAAAATAATTTCAAAGATTAGTATAAGAAAAAGAAACGGCTGAGTGAGTCAGGTCTAAACATTGACAATTTGAATTAATAATATACTGGTGATGCGCAAAGGGTCAAGGGAATCGCGCACCGCCGGTATATTAGAGAGACGACTGGGGACGAGTCAGTAGCATGAACAGAAAACGGTGGGAAAACAAAATTTAGTCCGTAGCTGTACCTTGTGATTAAACAAAAGAAATGTGCCGTGACTTCCAATTAAATGGATTCCGAATCAAGGCTTATGTTTTTTCTCCTACTTTGATTCGAGGTTGAAGGCGGAATCCATTTGAGTGTCATAGAAATGTCCGGCTTCGACTTGTGCGGAATTTATCTGCTTACAATAGGATTTCTACGACCACTAGAGGCCGGAAACAAGCATGATGTGAAAATAAGAAATCTAACGAAATCTTTTCTCAACCTTTCGACATAGTGTGGATAATGGACTCCTTCACGACGATACGGCAGCCATCTTGTCAGGGGTCAAAACAAAACAAAGATGACGGGAAAATATACAGCGTTTCGTGTGTTTGTCTTTCTTTTATGGGTAAAGATGATCGATGTTCCGTCTTAATTCATCTTTTGTTGTATTCTCTTGCGTTGAGTTGTTTATATCAATCGACGTCATTATCGTAAGAAAGCCTTATTAGCCCCCCTGACGCCCCTAATGCCTTGCAATCCAAGATGACCGTCGCATCGCCGAAGTAGYCCACTGAATCACATGCTACAGAAGTTTCTACTCTGAAGTCCACTTTGATAAGAGCATTAAAAATTAAAAAACAAATAAAACCACTATTTTGACGTACAGAAAGTTCAACTTCTATAAGGGCACTCTCTGGGTTATTCTTCATTGCGTTCACGATAGCATATGCTCCAGCACTTTGCATCGGATTTTTTCCAATCTAAGAAATAAAAGCAACTATTAGAGACCGTTCATAAGGGGCCAGTAATAATACATGGGTAAGGAGACGAAGTGGATTTTGAGGGGGACAGCAATTCTTTAAATTACACTTA